GTGTAGGTTGTCCCCCAAAGCTATTTTCTTAATCTATGACCACAGGCTCATCTTCTTCTTTATTAGCCATAAGTCTGACTTTTTTTACTTTAACGTGATCTTTCGAAGGAGAATCGCCATCCTGGTGTACGGATGTAAACTTCATTTTCTTTCCTGGAGCCCTTGGACTGGATAATTGAGACACTTTCCCCTGTTGACGAAGCCATTTTTGAACATATTAAAGCAAATACAAACTTTACACGGGTATTTCTATATTTATTTATTGATGAGACTTATATACCGCTTTAAGTGCAAGCACTCTCTAAGCGGTGTATACCACTAAGCAATGTATATATATATTTACATTGCCCCCAACAATCTGGGTCCTCATTTTACCTACCCCGGAAGGATGGAAGGCTGAGTCAACCTTGAGCCGGTGAGATTTGAACCGCTGACCTGCTGAACACAGCTAAAGTGGCCTGCAGTACTGCACTCTTAACTGCTGCGCCACCTCGGCTCCTATAAGTAGTGCTTTTTCTGAAGCTTCTCCCTGAAAGTTCTGGTGGCCCATAAAAAAGGCAATATTTTGCCTTTCTCTGAGTTACGTCATAGGGACAGAAAAGGCATTGCTTTGATTAGACCAGTGTTTCCCAAACTTGACAATTTTAAGGCATGAGGACTTTAACTCCCAGAATTCCACAGCCAGCAACGCTGGCTGTGGAATTCTGGGAGTTGAAGTCCACATGCCTTAAAATTGTCAAGTTTGGGAAACACTGGATTGGACTATGGCAAGCCTTCCAAATAGGTCCATCAACTCAAATCAATATGACCATTACCAAGAGATTTTTTGAACTGTAGACCAAACCATTTGGAGGACACCGGATAAACTTCTCTAGAACTAGATATTAGCAAGCAATACAGGAAACTGAGACACGGATGCCAATGTGTTTCGGATATTCAAAGTACGTAGATCTATTACCATGTCACAACTGTTTGGAAATGATCACGGAATCGTTTAGCTGATGCACGGGTCACCTTTTAGAATGGCGGCATTTAATGCAGCCTTTATCTTTACCATCTGCTCACATTGGTAATTTAATGCTTGTGAATTTCACAAAGCCAAGACATCATGTGACTGCATAGATCAGTGGTGGTGAACCTATGGCAAGCGTGCCAGAAGCGGCACTCAGAGCCCTCTCTGTGGGCACGCACGCCGTCGCCCCAGCCCCACCTCCCCCCGCGGCCCCCTCCTCACCAGCAGCCACCCCGGAGATTTGTCCCCAAGCACGGCCCGCACACAGCAGCACAGCCAAGGACATGACGGCTGAACAGTGGGGATAAGACTCCGCCTTTGTGCCCCATCACACACAGATGATGCTGTGGGGTGCGGAGCACTGCTGGGCTGCTTGGACGATCTGTGGTGGGGCATCGAGGCAGTGGGTAGCTAGGTGGGCGGGGGCTGGCAGGGCAGGGGCGGGGCAAGGTTTTGGACACTCGGTCTCTAAAAGGTTCATCATCACTGGCAAATCATGCATCCAACAATTCCTTGTATAACTTGCTTCCCTTACTCAAACAGGTGTAGCGTTACCCCCTCGAAGGCCGCCAAAGCCCAGGTCCTCCCAGCTCCACTCCCCTCCATCGCGCTCAGCTGCTGCGCTCTTGAGGTGTTAATAAAGTGTCTTTTCCAGCAGGAGCTCACGCGAAGTGAGGAGGTGGCAGATTCTCGTCGTCAAAGGGGGGTCTTTCAGGAATGAAAACCAGCCCCTTAGCCCCAATAGTCAATGCGTGGCGGTGTTTAACAGCCCCCCGGCAGTCGTAGCAGCAATATTTAACAGTGTCCGTTCGGAAACAAGTGGGGTGGGGAAAAACCCCGGCTCCAGAGAGCACCGAGAACACGAACGAAGGTGGTCAGCGTTCTGCAGTCACAGCTCGCCCTACGAGGGCAATTCCCCACAACTTGCAGAAGTAACAGTAGTCAAAATCTGGGTGGCCACCAGCCTCCAAAGCAATAGCGACCAGCCTCTCCTTCTCTTCTGTCATTGCTCGTGATCCCAGGTCTCATCGGTGTCAAAAACCCTTCCACCCCCTTTCCTTTATTGTTAAAATCTGAATTTAGCAACCTCAGCAGCTTTCTCTCTTCTCTCTCTCTTGCCTCCGCTCAGGATATCCTCCCCCGCGAAAGAAAAATTCCACGTTCTCTCTCTCTCTCCCTCCCTCCCTCCCTCTCTCTCTCTCTCTCTCTCCTTCCCTCTCCTTCAAAAAGAGGGATCAGCTAAAACCTCAAATCCCTCTGCGACTTCACCTGGTCTCTCCCCGACACCAGCAACAGCAACCACCCCACCACCTTTCTTTCCTTTTTCTTTCTTTCCGCCCGATCCACACCCAAAACCTGCGGCAGTTGTCCGACCTTCCCTCTCCCCGGGCAGGCTCCCACAAAGCCTTTCAGACAGCCCCGCTACACACGCATTTGGGAAAAAAAGAAGAGTATAGGGTAGAATTTTGAAACAGGCAGTTCTCGCTACAGGTTCACTGGCGCAAGGAAAACTACAGCCACCTCAAAATGCAAATCTCATTGAATTCTGTTACCCTTGGAAGATTCAAGGCTAATAGAAACTGTCTTGGGAAATCAGCTCCAAGCAGAAGCAGCTGTTTGTTCCAGAATTCAAAATTACCACCTTGACATTGCTGAAAAGGCAGCAGAGCTAGGAGACTTTTCAATTTGTCTCTACGATCTATCACAGTGGTGGCGAACCTATGGCACACATGCCACAGGCGGCACTCGGAGCCCTCTCTGTGGGCACACGTGCCATTGCCCTAGCCTCGCCTCCCCCCACGACCCCCTCCTCACCAGCATCCCCCCTGGAGGAGAGTCGTCCCTGAGCGTGGCCCATGCGGAGCAGCACAGCCAAGGACATGGCAGCCAGGCAGTGTAGGCAAGACTCTGTCCTCATGCCCCCATCGCACACAGTTGATGCTGCGGGGCGTGGGCAGAAGGCGTGGCCACCACGGCGCTGCTGGGCTGATCTGCGGCAGGCCCTGGAGGTGGTGAGTTGCCCTGCGGGCAGGGGGGGGGCGGGGCAGGGGGTAGAACAGGAGCAGGGCCAGTTTTTGGGCACTCGGTCTCTAAAAGGTTCGCCATCACTGATCTACCAGATATAAATCAGGCAAAGATATGAACAGTACCATCCTACTGCACTTCTCCATAGTGAAGATTAATAACTTTGAAGTATACCACAACCAGAATGACTAGATAACTGCTGTTAAAAAAATAGAGAGAGAGAAAAAATAACAGTCTCACCTTAGCGGTTTTATTTGTGCCCACCATCCTTTGCATAGTGATAACATGAGCTTTATCTTTCAGAAGGTTCGCTCTGGGTCCTATTTTCACATAGGATATTGTGGCAAAGGCTGTAAAACTGAAGTCTTCCCTGGAAGACAAAAGTCTTTTTGTTAATCTGAAAGGAAGGATTTAGGCAGGTTTACAGGACATACAGTAAGATTAGACACCAACTGCTAAAACTAGCAATTTGTGAAAGAGATACAAGCACTGTGGTGATGAAGAGGAACAGCTGCTGGAATTGGGTATGTCTAGTCCAGGGGTAGGCAACCTTGGCTCTTTTATGACTCGTGGACTTCAACTCCCAGAATTCCTGAGCCAGCCATGCTGAGGGGAAAAGGAGAGGTTTCCAAGCTGAGCCATGCTGGCTCAGGGATTCTGGGAGTTGAAGTCCATGAGTCACAAAAGAACCAAGGTTGCCTACCCCTGGGCTACTCTAATGAAGAGAAGGACGAGGGGGGACATGATAGCAGTGTTCCAATATCTCAGGGGATGCCCCAAAGAAGAGGGAGTCAAGCTATTCTCCAAAGCACCTGAAGGCAGGACAAGAAGCAATGGAAGGAAACTAATCAAGGAGAGAAGCAACCTAGAACTAAGGAGAAACTTCCTGACAGTTAGAACAATTAACCAATGGAACAACCTGCCTCCAGAATCGGTGAATGCTCCAACACTGGAAGTTTTTAAGAAGAGACTGGACAGCCATCTGTCCGAAATAGTGTAGGGTTTCCTGCCTGAGCAGGGGGTTGGACTCGATGACCTCCAAGATCCCTTCCAACTTTATTATTATTATTATTATTACTATTATGAATGTATGTGGGTTGCACGGAAAAGGGCAGATTTTAAAAAGCCACGGAACTTACTTCAGATACTGTTGCAGAATCAAATGGGCAACGATTCTCTCCAATACCTCACGGGGAAGTCTGGGAGCAGCAATCTCCAATCCCAGTTTGGAGAGGCCCTTCCCTAGCCAAGCATCAATCAGTTTCAGAGGAGTGAATTTCTCCTTCCTTTGGTCCACTTGCTCTAAAATCTTGAGGAGATTCCTGCAGTGCTCCGCCACATCCATCTTCTCCAACGCTGAGGGGAGAGAATTAGCACACAGGAACAAATATTATTCCCAAGGAAAGCAAAGGAAGATAAAAGCAGTAATTGGATTCAGTTTCTGCTCTACACATGGGACCTTTTGGGCCATCGACGCCCGTGTTTCTAAATATGTAGAAAACAAAAAATGAAAGGACAAAAACCAATCAGGGATCCACCCAGCAGAGTGGTCCAATAGAAGAAGAAAGGGAACCGAACCAATCTGAAAATACAGGTTCTCTTGTCGACAGGCCAAATCCTTCTAATTTCTCATAGAGTGATCAGCTGCGTCAGCAACTTTCAAAGAGGCTCTAGGGCAGAGGTCCCCAACCCCAGGTCCATGGACAGTACCAAGCCACGGCATGTCAGCAACCGGTCCAGACAAACAAGCAAAGCCCCATCCGCGGGGATGCAGGCAGCACACAAAGCCACACACCCTCCGGTCTGAGGAAAAATCTCTCTCCACGGAACTGGTCCCTGGTGCCCCAAAGGTTGGGGACCTCTGCTCTAGGGACCCATGGATTCAGGGCTTCAGACTGTGCATCCCTAATTCAAATCCTGCCTGTCAAAGGAAGTCTAAGCAAGTCTATCAATAACATCCTAAATGTTCGTCTCGATCTTTCAGCGCTTCCGGGTTAGATTGCGGCAAACCAGTCTACCCCTCTTCGACTGGGCAACTTTGTGGCCTCAGGCGGGCGACATCTTTGAGCAAGTAGCAAGTAGTCTTCGAGCAAGTAGACGTCGCCCAGCCTCAGGCGGGTGACGTCTTCGAGCAAGTAGCTGACGTCTTCGAGCAAGTAGGTGGCTCATTGGAGGCAAGCTGGGCTCAGCTATATCCGCTACTCTCAGATCTGGGCAAAAGCAGAAAGAGCAGCCCTGAAACCTCAGTTTAAAACGGAGGCAGAGAAAGCAGCTGGAAGCCATGTAAAAACTATAAAACCCAAAACGGAAATGACACAAAACCCATTCTCTAGAAGGAAAAATGACAACTCATGTCAAGCAATAATAAAATAAATCTTCAAGGAATTAAACTTTCATCTCCACAAACCAGCCATGTAATTACTGGTAAACACTTTAAACTGTACTCCGTGGAAAAGAAATGGTAATTAAAAGGCTTTATTTTTTTTTTTTTAGATTTTAACACAGCTGGAGGATGCAAGTTACAGAAATATCTGCTATTCCCTGAGGAGCCCAGGATTCTAAATATTCCTTCAGATTCCTTAATATTATTATAGGATTATATCATTAGCTGTGGATGAAAATAGTTCATCTGAATCTTCTTAATCTCAGCTATGTAGAGAGCTTCTTTCAGATTCAAGGATACAGATAGTCCTCAAATTACAATCACAATCGAGAGCAGAATTTTGGTTGCTAAGTGGTCAGTTGCTAAGTGAGTCACGCCCAATTTCCTACCTTCTCTGCCATGGTTGTTAAGCAAAACATTTAAGTGAATTATGTGGCTGTTAAGTGAATCTGGCTTCCTTCCTTGACTTTGCTTGGGAAGGTCACAAATGGCAATCACAGGATTCCAGGATGCCACAACTGTTGTCAATACACACTGGCTGCCAAGCACACAAATTTTAATCACTTCATCATGGGGAACGCAGTGGCGGTCATAAGTGCAAGGAAAGGCTGTAAGTAACTTTTTTTTTTTTTTTAGTAACGCTGTAACTTTGAATAGTTACTAAGCAAATGCTTGTAAGTTGAGGACCACTTCTATTTTAGATAGAAACTGTAAAAAAAATTCTGCCTGTGCATATTATGTACCAAGCCCCACCCTGTAGGATCTGGAGGGGAAAAACCTGAAAAAAACCACCAGATTTTTTTTTAAAAAAACCACATTCCCTGCACGTGACAATGAACAATACAATTTCATTTGAACAAAAAAATACTGTGACTCAAATGTGGAAAATCTCCAACAAACAGCATTTGTTTCCAAGCTACTGAAACAAAGGATTCTGGGAAGGCTCTACTGATGGCTAATCTAGAACAAAACAGAGTTAACAGAGTTGGAAAGGGACCTTGGAGGTCTTCTAGTCCAACCCCCTGCTCAGGCAGGAAACCCTATGCCATTTCAGACAAACAGTTTTTAAAAATTACCAGTGTTTTAGCCTTCATAATTTCTGGAGGCAAGTTGTGGCACTGATTAATTGTTCTGTTAGGAAAACGACAGTTGAATGGGTAAGGAATGTGAGACGATTTCTAATTCCAATCCTGGTGTCTTAGGAACTCAGAGGCAAAAAGAACCATTAAAAAGGGGGGTTAACTAAACTCATAAACTCCTTGCTCAATTCTCAGGCAGATCAGGCAGATTTTCAAAGCAATAGAAAAGTTGGTTAGGAAGATACCGCAGAAGTACTCCAGACATTAGTAGTTTCAGCCATCAAATATCAAGAAATTATAGATCAATGAAGGTGTTTGATGTAACCAGTTTACAGCTTGGGAAAGAAGACAGTGTTATCTGAGATTATCACATGAATCTCGATCAATGGTGAGATATGAATAAGTAAGTATTAGACTGCGAAGAGTATAAAAAGAATAACTCATGCCTAAGATATTTCTGCTATCCTGTCTCATTTGCATATGATTCAAACAAATCTTATTACGCAAATGCCTTAAAAAGCCCTGATACAGAAATAGTTATTCATTGGATTTGTGTACGTATGCTATGCTACACTAACTTTTATCAGCAGGAAAGTTTGACGATATTCTTAACAATCTCTAATTTGTGCTTGGTGAACCGTTACACTAATGGCTGAACTAAAACAGAGATATACAAGAGGATTTCAAAATCTGGAACGGTGACTCACGACCAGCTTTATGCCTATGCAAATTATCACTTTCGTCTTCAGGCTGTTATATTTCCACTTTGAAAAAACCGATTCGGTAGCGATTCCCTTCAGTTGGTTGTCTCTTTCCTGCTCTCCCACTTACTCTCTTCTTGACAGCAATTGTCACACATTTTATTACAACTGGCAGAATCCCAGGCCTCGTCAAAGTGATGAGCTATCTGGACGCGGCGGCACCTGCAGCAGAAATACCAGAGTCAGAAGCAATCAATGGGTTGATACATGCAACCATCTACAGTCTACTACAGATAGTCCTTGACTTATAAGCAATCACTTAGCCACTGTTTGAAGTTACAGCCTGCCTGAAAAAAGTGACTTCAAGCCCAGATCTGAAGTTCTGATACTCAGCACCCACCACGCAGTCACATGACCACACTTGGACAGCTCAGCAACACAGCAGCATTTGAGGCCGTTTGCAGTGTTCTGCAGTCACATGACTGTGTTTTACAATGGTTTTGCCAAAAACTCACATTTATTTCTGGTTTTTGGAAAAAACTACACCATAGCAAACAATGGGATGGCTTAGATACTGCAAAACAGTCATAAAATCAGAATTCCCTAGCCAGCATGCTAAGGCATAATTTTTATGACCATCAAAGGAATATAAATTTAAGGAGAAACCAATATGGAGGGCAGATAAAGATTCAAGTAAGACAGTATTAAAAGCATTTACATTTCCTGCCCGCCAGCCAGCCTAGTTACTTTTTCAATAAAACAACAGAATGTATATAACTGAATCAACTCTATATACTCAAAAGATCACCAGCAACATTTGGATAGTACAGATAGTCCTTGATTTACGACCAGTCACTTAACGATTGAAGTTACAATGGTCCAAAAAAAGGGGGTTAGCATTCATTTTTGAAGTTCTGACAGCTGCCCCTCCCCCGATGGCCACCAGACTGCATTTTGGGCACTTATCAACCAGCTCACATTTAAAGCCGTTTGCAGTGTCCCACAGCCACATGACCTTTTTTTGGAAATTGGTCTTTACTTTTAGTTTCCAGCAAAAAAAATTGCCCTTCAGCGTTATGTTGGGTTCGCTTAACAACTGCTGCATTCACATTACATGGCCGCATTTACTTAACCACCAGTGCAAAAAAAAAAAGTCATAAAATCAGGTCTGGCCATGTGGTGACCAGCTTTACAACTGTCGTGATTTACAACCAAAATTCTGGGCTCAATCATGGTCATAGGTCAAGGACTACCTGTAATTGCAACACAAGGAACATATCTGTCCGTCCCATGTGTGAAAAAAACAACTTGCCTTCCCATATCGTGACAGTAGGAAACCATGCCATACAGCTTCTGCTGTCCCACGTTTTCCATCACCACCATGGTACTGATTCTGAATATGTCGCCAAAACCATAATACAAGATACACTCGGCTCTCTGGTCATCCCGACCTGGAATGAGTTTTTTTGAAATATATATATATATATACATACATACATTTTCACCCGCAGCTAAGCAACACAAATTTTATAAAGAACAAACTATATTTGATAAGATTTTGTTAACTTCAGATGAGAAATTAAGAAAATGTATAATTTTTTCTTGATCCTGGAAATGGAAAGCGAACAAGTTAAAGAAACAATGATAAGATGGGCGAAAAACTTTGGTTATAATATAGAACCAGAAAAGTGGCAAACGATAAGGGAGAGAAATTATAAGGAACGGTTGCTGGAATTGGGTATGTCTAGTTTAACAGAGAAGGAGGAGGGGGGACATGATAGCCGTGTTCCAATAGGGACTGCCACAAAGAAGAGAGTGTCAAGCTATTCTCCAAAGCGCCTGAAGGCAGGACAAGAAGCAACAGGTAGAAACTAAGCAAGGAGAGAAGCAACCTAGAACTAAGGAGAAACTTCCTGACAGTTATAACAATTAACCAGTGGAACCACCTGCCTCCAGAAGCAGTGAGTGCTCCAACACTGGAGGTTTTTAAGAAGAGACTGGACAGCCATTTGTCCGAAATGGTATAGGGTTTCCTGCCTGAGCAGGGGGTTGGACTAGATGACCTCCAAGGTCCCTTCCAACTTCACTACTATTATTATTACTATTATTATAAATTGACAATGTCAACCTCGTATAAAGATTAGCAAGATTAGCAAAAATGTTTAAAAACATATCAGACAAATGCTGGAAATGTAAGTACAACTCAGGCACTTATTATCATGTTTGGTGGACATGTGGTAAAGCTAAGGTTTTATTGGAAAAAGATACATGTCTGGTTAGAAAAAAATGTTGGGAGAATATGTTGAACTTTTCTTATTAGGTATAATGCCAGAAAAGATTAATAAACAAAGCCTATATTTTACACGTCACAACAGCAGCAAGAATAACTTTTGCGCAATATTGGAAAAATGAAGGATTACCACCGGAGGAAGAACTAATCAGAAAAATATTGGAATGTGCAGAGATGGACAGATTAACTATGAGACTGAAAGATAAAAAAGAAACAGAATATTGCCAAACTTGGGATTTATTCTATCAATGGCTAGAGGAAAGAATGAAGGATTAGGAACTGAATACGTATTAGCGTTTTTAAACCCAGACAGCATGTTGGTTGAAAAATTAATATATGTATGTAAGAGAAAACTAATAAAATCTTTATTAAAAAAAAAACCACAAATTTCTCCCCAGAATATGTCCTCACTTAAGTATACCTGCGCGTCCACTCTCTTGGTAGTAATTTTCCATGGATTTACTCATGGAATGATGTATGACGAATCTCACGTCTGGCTTATCGATTCCCATGCCAAAAGCCACAGTGGCCACCACAACCTGAAACATAAAGACGATGGAAATCAGGACTAAGTCATCCCAGCTGAATAGAAAAACTTCTGTATCACAGACTCCACCTGGATTTCGTTGGCACACCACCGCTTATGAACTCTGCTCTTATCTTTGGGCTCCATATTTGCATGGTAAGTACCTGCTTTAATCCCCAGTTTTTGCAAACTCATAGTAACTTGCTCAGCATCTTTCTGGGAAAAGCAGTAGATAATTCCTGTATCAACAAAATAAGTAAGACTGTTTAACATAATAGAGTGTAGGGAAAAGAGAGAGAGGAGTTATTTAATCTATTTAGAATAGCAGGTATTCAGCACGGGTTAAGTATGTTTCATGTATAATCATTCGGCGAACAGAACAGTTGATATTGGGTGATTCATGCTTGAACTGAAACATGCATAAGGCTGTTTTATTCCTGATATTGGCCAAATGTTGGCTGTTCCTGGGAGAAGGATTTCCTTTGGAGGCTTAACAGCAGGAAAAAGCCAAGATTTAGGGCAAGGGTGTCAAAACTGGCGAGTCGCAGGCTGGACGCATCATACATAGGCCACGCCCACCCTGGCTCCGCAAAGGCAAAAAAAAATATCACGTGACGCGATCGAGTTTGACATTTGTGGTTTAGGGCAGCGATGGCGAATCTTTTAGAGACCGAGTGCCCAAAAACCACCTCGCCCCTGCCCCGTCCCCGCATCTCCTGCCCACAGGGCCACCCACCACCTCCACAGCCCGCCGCAGATAGCCCAGGTGGCCCAGCAGCATCATGGCGGCCACGCCCTCTGTCTGTGCCTCGCAGCATCATCTGTACGTGATGGGGTGTGAGGGTGGAGTCTTGTTCCCGCTGCCCGGCTGCCATGTCCTTGGCTGCGCTGCTCTGCACAGGCTGTGCCCAGGGCGACTCTCCTCCGGGAGGGGGGCTGCTGGTGAGGAGGGGGCCATGGGGAATGGCAGGGCTGGGGCAACGGCGTGCTTGCCCACAGAGAGGGCTGAGTGCCGCCTCTGGCATCCATGCCATAGGTTCGCCACCACTGGTTTAGGGGTTCTCTTGATCATGATGGCAGTAGATGAGGAGGAGGGGAGGGAGGGAAGGATGAAAACATTGAGGAGACAGGAGGCAAGCAGCTCAGTGGGATTTCAATAGAATATTTGTAGCTGAGGGTTGATCTATGGGGTCCTTGGTACTTTCTGAGCTTTGGTCGTTTTCTTGAAGACATTTCATTACCCAGCTAGGTAACATCATCAGTATTAGTAGGGAATGAGGTTTCCTCTCATTTTATAAAGTACTGGCTTGCCCTGTTTTGGGGATTCCTTGATTGGGTTATTTACTGTTAAGCTATCTGGCAGTTCTTTAACTGAGTATTGTTTGCTTCTTGATTGTTAGTCTACTGTTAAATCTTAGTCTTTAATCTGTGCTCATCTGGTTGTTGTCGAGAAGGTGTTTTGGTCTTTTTGTTTCCTCTCTGGCTTTTTGATTGTCTCTTTTGAAAGGTATGTAGGTGTTGTTTATGTCTGTGTGCCTGTTGATGGCGAATTTGCCTGAGTGCCAGGCTTTCAGGAATTCTCTAGCAGTGGGATTTCCTATGATAGAACACTGGTGGTGGCAGCTGATGGGAGAGAAAGCCCTAGGACAGGGGTAGGCAACCTTGGCTCTTTTATGACTCATGAACTTCAACTCCCAGAATTCCTGAGCTAGCCATGCTGAGGGGAAAGGGAGAGGTTTCCATGCTGAGCCATGCTGGCTCAGGAATTCTGGGAGTTGAAGTCCACAAGTCTTCAAATTGCCAAGGTTGAGAAACATTGCCTTAGACCAGGGGTAGGCCACCTTGGCTCTTTCATGACTGGTGGACTTCAACTCCCAGAATTCCTGAGCCAGCATGGCTCAGCATGGAAACCTCTCCCTTTCCCCTCAGCGTGGCTCAAGAATTCTGGGAGTTGAAGTCCACAAGTCATAAAAGAGCCAAGGTTGCCTACCCTTGTCCTAGGAAGATGGGAGGGGCAGTTTTCCCTTACTTGTCCTTTAAAACCAGTCCGCCATTGCTGAAGTTTTGCTTCAGCCAAAACCCAGAACACACATACACACACACACACACAAATCCACAGCAAGTTCTTAAGAAGGCCATGTGGGTGTTTTTGTTAGAGTCAAAACAATACACATTTTCTATTTTGAACATGTCCTCAGTACTCAAATAGGGTGTGGGAAAAGGCTAAAAATGGCGATCTCTTAGACATGCTAACATATTCTTGGAAGGGATTCTTTTTAG